AAAAAAAAAAAAAAAAAGAAAGGAAATTGAAAAACCAACAGCCCTGAACATATTTCCAGCCCCACCTGCACTTGACAAAGACAGCTGACAAATGGGACACGTTCAGCCCACCTCCTCTACCGGGGTGGCAAGGAGCAAAGGAGAAGCAAAACCTGGGGGTACAGATAAGAGTGAAGAGGATTCTCTTGCTTATCCAGAGGAATGCCCTTCCTGGGGGCTCCAAAAAAACTAGACCACAAGACAAAGTTAAAAAGCACAGAGAGAGAGACTCAACAGCTCCCCAACATCTACCCCAACCCTGCTCAATGGCTTTCCACTGAATCTAGAATAACATCTAAATTCCTTACTATGGGGGCACCTGGCTGGCTCAGTTGGAAGAGCATGAGACTCTCAATCTCAGGGTCATGAGTTCAAGCCTTAGGTTGGGGGGTAGAGATTACTTAAATAAAACCTTAACAAAAAAAGTAATAATAAGGGGTGCCTGGGTGGCTCAGATGGTTAAGCGTCTGCCTTTGGCTCGGGTCATGATCTCAGGGTCCTGGGATCGAGCCCTGCATTGGGCTCCCTGCTTGGCAGGGAACTTGCTTCTCCCTCTCCCTCTACTGTTCCCCTGCTTGTGCTCTCTCACTCTCTCTGTCAAATAAATAAATAAAATCTTAAAAAACAAAAAAAAGTAATAAGAATAATAAATAGGGGCACCTGGGTGGCTCAGTCGGTCAAGTGTCCAACTCTTGGTTTCAGCTAAGGGTCGGCCTGCTGGGGACTCCCTGGGTGTGGAGCCTGCTTGAGATTTTCTCCCTCTCCTCTCCCTCTGCCACTCCCCCTGCTTTTGAGAGAAAGACAATGCAAGCAGGGGGAGCGGCAGCGGGAGAGGGAAAAGCAGGCTCCCTGCTGAGCAGGGAGCCCAAGTGGAGCTCAAGGCGGGACTCCATCCCAGGACCCTGGGATCACCACCTGAGCCTAAGGCAGACCTTAACTGACTGAGCCACCCAGGCGCCCCCCCCACCCAATTTTTAAATAAGTAAAAATAAATAAAAAATAAACTCCTTACTATGGTGTGAAAAGTATCCATGCACTGGCCCCTGCCTAGCTCTCCCCTCGTTCTTCATCCTCACTTCATTGACACACTTTTTCAGTAAAGAGTCAGATAGGAAGTATTCTAAGCTTTGTGGACCATACGAACTCCATTGCAACTACTCGACTCTGTTACTATAGCACTAAAACAGCCCTAGACAATATAGAATTGAAGAGGTGTGTCTGTGCTCCAATGTATGGACACCAAAATTTGAATGCCATATAATTTTTAGACACCATGAACTATTCTTCTTCTTTTGATTTTTGCCAACAATTATAAAATATAAAAACCATCCTTAGTTCACAGCCCACATCCGAACTGAGGGGCATAGTTTGCCAAGCCCTGCACTAAACACACTGGCCCGTTTTCCTGGGTCATGGCCTTTGCATATGCTATTCCTTCTGCCTAGAATGCTTGTCCCTTCACTCTTGGTCTGGCTTACCCTTCATCTTCAAGGTATCAGCTTAAATGCTGCTTTCACAGAGAGGTCTCCTTTATTCCTCCACATGCAAATAGTTCCCCCTGAGCCTCTAACATAGCATCCTGTCCTTTTGCCCATGGGACTTAACAGTTTGTAATTATATATTATACTTTCTGTGCTTATATTGTTCAGTATTTGTCCTCCACTAGACTGAAAGCTCTGTGATGGCAGGAGTTACACTATTTTGCTCATTATATGCCTGGCATGCAAGAGCACTGAATTAATATTTGTTGAATGAACAAACAAAGGTCGTCCTACAAAGTTCTCATTCATCTCATCCATCACCTGTGGCCCATCATGATGATGACACCTCAACCAATGGGAGGCAAAACAAACCTACACTGGGATCAGTTGGACTACTCTGGGGAAGGCGGGGTGGGGGGTGGTGGTGGGAGGGTTCACACAGACTAGCATTCCTCATGCCTGGGTCCAATTTTTGGTACAAATATATCCCATTTATAAATTGAGAGTTTGGGATCAGTTCAGGGATTTCTGAAAGGATCATTTCCCTTGTGGAAAATACTAAGGAATCTCCTGGTGATCATTTCTTCCTTCTTAATTCCCATTCACTATTTCTAACTAACAACTAGGTAAAGTCTCCGTTGGTGCTAATCAGTCTTTAACACCTGTCTGAATTTGCCATTGTCTCTCTCT